CAATTAACCCTTTCACTCAGACTTTTCAAATTGTTCTACTTGCTTTTACATCTAATTGTGTGGTTTGTTTTTTTTTAAAAAAGAAACCCTAGTCTCTTTAAATACTATAGCTTGTCTGGGGAATTCATCCAGTCTCTTATATCAGTTAGCCTACCTGATATTGGGTTTATATACTTTAAAAGACATCTTTCCCACTGGCAAGAGCATATCTTGTCTTGGCAGGGCATAAGACCGTTGAGATCAGCCAGGTTGTCCCAGTTCTCCATCCCACTGTTGAATCTGGCTTGGGCGGTGGAAAGACTTGTTGGTGATAGGCTCTGCCTGCATCACTCCCTCCTTGAGGATGTCCATTACAATTCTATATTGTCATCTTGAGTACTGTCATGTGACAAAGCAAAGCATTGCCATCACTAAACCAGGAACATAATATAGTCCCTAAATGTTCTCCCTAGAAACTTCCACAGCCCTATCCTTCCTGGCTTGCTGTCACACTTTTAAAGAAACAGTATACTTATTGTCATCCTCCATCTTTTTTTTTTTTTAATTATTATAAATGAGAACTAACATTTGTAGCAAATTACAGTTCCAGAGTCTCCACTGGCCTCATCATTCATCCAGGTCTATTCATCTTCTGATCCTAAAGAGTTTTATCCATTTCAATTGGACTATACCTCTAGCATCTGATAGTCTTGTCGAGAAGGGTTCAAAAGTAGGAGTCTCTCCCTTCCCTAAGGCAGCAAGGTCACATGACCAACATCCCACTTTTTTGGGTCTGTTCTTGGAATCTTTATCATTCAGAACAATATAGAATCTCATGGAAAGAATCTCATAGTGACAACAGCTGGTGTAAAAGACTTTCTTGGTGGTCAGAGTAGACCTGAAATAGGAAGTGAACTCTCACTAAACCAGGGATTGTCTTCCACTTTTAGCAGGGCTAGTTATCCTGGTTTAAGTTTGAGTAAGACTTGCATTTCATTCTAACAGTCAAAGATGATGAACTCAATTTGCCAGCTTTCAGTCTTGCATCCTTTAAGGAGGGCCACTTATGACAAAGATTTGTATAAGGCTGGTGGCATTGTCTATGGCTGGTGACTGTTAGCAGACCTAATGTGGGATCTTTCTGTTAAAATTCTCTGAGCATTCTGTACTGCTCTTTCCCCTAGTCCAGAGATTGGCAACCTTTGGCACATGGCCTGCCAGGGTAAGCCCCCTGGCTGGCCGGGCTGGTTTATTTACCTGCCGCGTCTGCAGGTTCGACTGATCGTGGCTCCCACTGGCCACAGTTCGCTGTCCCAGGACAATGGGGGATGCAGGAAGGGCGGCCAGCACATCCCTCGGCCCGCGCCACTTCCCGCAGCCCCCAAAGGTTGCCAATCCCTGCCCTGGTCTATGCTCTTGTGGGGACTGGAAGTAATCTGATCAAAATGATCAAGTTATGAATTCAGGGTCCTATTGTCAGTGACTTCTTTAGAAAGGAAAAGACTGTAAAATAGTCACAGAGGATGGGTTGGTCCATTTAATTATCAGGGAATACAGAGGTCTCAAACCTGATTTCCCCTTGTATTTTGGCACTAGTGGCTATTTTAGTCCTAATCTCAATGGTAAGACTGGCTAGCCACTCAAAATGGCATCCACATATGCTTATATCCTCCTGAGCCTCGAAGAATGTGGTTGATCCCATCACAAGGTCTAGTCTGCCCCATGCTGTCACCAGTCTCTGGGGAGTGACCGCTTTAGTGTGCTAGCACCCACAGAGGCCAGGGGACTCGAAGCCTGGGCTTTCCCCCTATCTCTCCCCATGGCTCCCTGCAGCAAATCCAAATCCTTCTGTAGGAGGTGTTTGTTTACTGTGCCCCTCTTTACATCAACATAGGCAGCCTTTACAAAACAAGGTAACCATTTATTAGTCACCTGGCATCCGAGTCCCTAGGTTAGCACAGAGGAGCAGAAGTTAAGCTATAGTTCACTCTGGTCAAACAAGTGCCACTAGGAGCTTGCCAAGCTGTGATGAACTCCATCTCTGGCTCTCCCTACCTGTTCCTCCTTTTTGTCTCCCCCTAGGTCAAGGCTCCTGAGGCCCTCCAAAAGAGCCACCCTTCTGGTTGCCTGACACCTTGTTCTCCTGCTTAGTTCCCGAGTCCTACCCTGCTGGGGTTTCCTGTTGATTGCTCAGTCACTGGGATGTCTGTCATTCTGGACCCTCTGTTTGGTTTGAAACAGTTCTTCAATGATCCTGTTAATTCCTTCCAGACAGCAAGCATGCGTGCACACACCCCTCCTGCACTGTTCCAAGAACAACGTTAACCCTTTTGCACCTACATGTTAGCAATGCAATGTACAGATGAAAACTGAGGCATGCCTGGGATTAATAAAAACAAGTATTTTTTAAAACTCCCTCTTGGTCACAGATCAACTTGGCTCTTCAGTAAGGTCAGCCAATGCAAGGACTACACCAGGCTTAAATCTTATCAAAACTATTGGCAGTCTCTGACATCTAGGGGGCAGGGCACCTTATGTAGGTCATAGAGCATAAGCTACTTGTATTGTTTATCACAAGCCTGAACTTGTCATGATCCTGCAGGTAGCTTGTGGCCTCTTTACTTGATGTACCCAGCCTGGGAGTTGTGAGCTCTAGGCTTCTCTGAAAATCAGGCCATTTTTATTTCAGTCCCCCAGGTTTGAAAACTGTAGCCTATATTACCTTTCACTTCTAGAGCACCTTTCGATTGTTGGCTTTGACTTTCTTTATACATTTAGCCTCCCGAAATGCTCTGAAGTAGCAGATATGGATAGACTTGGCCATAAGAGTCTTTTTTTTTTTTTTTTACACAAAACTAGTACCATTGCAATAAAGGATCCAGGGTGCCTCGTTAGCCACTGCAGCAGAGGTAGCAAAAAGCCACTGCACAGAAATATTGCAGAACACACATTATTTCATGAAAGCATCCCATGCAGCCCTAGAACCTGGCATCTCTTTCTGTAAGTTAGACTCTTCCCGGAGGCCTCTCCACACATCAGAAAATAACAAGCTAAGAACAACAAGGATGGTGTGGATTTCAAGAAGCTGACCCCCCTTCGACAAGTTAGAGTCATGGAAACTCTCATAGCAAACAGGGCTGCTACCTGTTTCTCTGCCCCTGTCTTGCCTGGGTTGCTAGAGAATACCTGATCCCTGATGCAGAGACCATCTTCTTCTGAGGGAAATCTACCATCCACATTAAAACATGGAGTAGCCTTACCAAAACTAAAGAAACAATAATTCTTTGCTGGAGTCCTTGCAAGCTGCTGCCCACTGTAACTAAACTTAGAAGGTCCCAGAACATGCTTCAGCAGCCAGTCTCCTGGATTCCTCTGTTAGAAAAGGGTTGTGGCATGGTGCATGACACCCTCCTGCCCAAAGGCCAGGGTATAAAATCATAGACCTCCTGCTGGATGTCTGGCATTTGGTACTGTTGGTCACCACATTTCTGCAGTCCCATCTCTAAGATGATGCATGAATGAATGGTTTGGGTCTAAACAACGCTATGTTACGGGCAACTGTTCTCTACCTTCGATGGCCTTGCCTGCAAAGTCCCACAAGGCTAAATCTTTCCTTTATCACATTTGGCATCTACATGGAACAAGTGGGGCAGTTAATGAGGCAGCACAGGCTGAAGTGCTGGCATTATACAGCTGGCACACACATGTATGGCTCCTTCATATCAAGTACAAGTAGCAACCAGAGTTCCCCACCCTGTCAGGCGTGGTGGGGCTCAGACTTCTGCCCTGGGGTGGTGGGTAGCAGACTTAAGCCATGCAGCAGCAGGCTCCATCCCCTCGCTGTCGCATTTTGGTCTGGGGTCCCAAGCTCACCACCGCACCCGAGCCCCCGCTGCTTCTCCTGTCCCTTCACCAACACCAGCCCCCACTGTCTCCCTGCCCACCTCCCCATCCAGAACTTAATTTGTCTCCTGGCTTGCCAGGGCCCGGGTAAGGCTGTTGTGAAAAGTGATGTTTGTTAATATCACTTTTCACTGCCTTCTAGCTAGCTCCTCTGCTGTGAAAAGTGATATCTGTGTGTTTGTTAATATCACTTTTCACAGAAACAGACTTACTAGCTGACAGGTCCAAAGGAAAAGGGGGGGGGGGGGAACAACCGCACAAACAACAATGACAAAAACATGCAAAGCAGCTTATTTTTTGTATTCTGTTTAGGTCCAGTGAAGAGTAGAGACAACTGTACATAAATAAATTACAATGATTTGGACATGGCAACAGGCATATTTATTTTTTGTTCCAAAGGTTGAAACCTGAGTGTTTTAGAAAAACTTGTCCAAGCGGCCACCAGCAAGAGTTGGTGGCCGCAATCAGAGGCCACCAAGAAACGTTTTGTGAGAACCCCTGCCTCAAAGCACCCTCATAAAGGAACAGGTACCTGAGTCGTTCCCCTCCTTCTCCTGCCCTGTGAACAACCCAAGGTAACAGCCTCTCTGGGACAGGGGCCACCCTTTTTCATCCCCTGCTGCCACACAAAGTGGTGAGGTGTCCCCCCCCCGTCTCTTCTCGCCCTGTAACGAGGGAACTCCCACACACCTCTTGATGTCCCGCGGGGGGGGGACCCCTCTCCTGCACCTCTTTTTGGGTAGTTACCCAGCAGGCGCCCTTGAGGGGGCTGCAGACGGTTATTACTCGCAGGGGCAGAGACACCCCCCCCCCCCGGGCCCCCTGCGGGGAGAGCGGGACGCTGCTCGGGAAGGACGGGCTGGGGTTGCACTCGCCACAGGTGGTGCTTGGCCCAGCCGCGGCTGAGGGCCGGGGGGGGGGCTGGCGGCGGCAGCCCGGGCGCGGTAGGAGAGCGCGGCCTGCCCTGGGGGCTCAGGGGCTGGCGCCCGGCGCTCCCCTGCCGGGGGCTGGCGCTGGTCGCTGTCCGCGGAGGGAGGTGCTGAAGGCCGGGAGGAGGCGGACACCGTCGCTCGCTCGCTCTCACCCAGCCCCCGCCCCGCCGCCTCCCAGCCTGCTGCAGCCATCTTGCGCGGCGCGGGGAAGCAGCCGCGGGCGCCCCGGGCTGGCTCGGCGCGGGCCGTCGCCGCCGCCGCCATGGTGAAGAGGAAAAGCTCCGAGGGCCCGGAGCAGGAGGGCGGCCGCGGCGTCCCTCTGCCCATCCAGACCTTCCTGTGGCGGCAAACCAGGTGCGAGCGGAGCCGGGCGGGGCGGGGTCCCCGGCGCCGGCCCCCTGTCCCGCTTGGCGCGCCTCGGGGGCCCCCGCCGCGCTGCCCCCGCCGGCAGCCGCGCTGCCCGCGGGCTGGACGTGACTGGCGCTCTGCCCTAGTCCGGGCGCCCCTAGTTGAGCTGGCTCCCGGGTCAGCCCCGGACTGCCTGAGGAGGGGAGGGCTGGATGAATATTGGGGGGGTGGGGTTCCCCCACTTCAAAATCTGGGCTATCTTTATGCGATTAGTATTTCTACCCCCCCCCCAAAAAAAAACACCCCAAACCCTCTGACTGTCAACCTGTTAGTGTGATGTTTGTTTTTGTAGGGTCTCTTGGGGGGGGGGGGGGTGTTGTTGTTTATCCAGTGGTAGACTGCTAAGGCAAACTTCCAAGGGATGGCTGAGTTTGAGCAAACACTGCATTATGAGGTCCTAAATAGCCTCAAAGTTCAAGGCCTGAGCTCCTGCACATTGCAGCCCCCCACAACCCACTCCTGTAACAGACCTTTAACCTCTGGCTGGGTCCCTGACGTCCTCAAGTCTAACTACTTGTTGTGGGGTGGGTGAGTTTTCTAGCTAAAACTTGTGAGGAAATGGAGGCCTCCAAGCCATTCAGATAGCTGTGTATTAATAATTAGAGGGAAAGAAACAGAGTGGAAAAGATCATTAACACAATCTACTAGCAAACTAAAGCTATTCAACTCATAGCTTCAGTAATACTTAATATATTCTTATTCTCCTAAATACTTTGATAAATGGTAAATGTGACTACTAGGCTTCGTTCTGATGAGTTAAAATGGCTGAATTCTATTTACCTTTAATGGAAGAAAATCATATTTTTAAAATGTCTTGCTTTTATATTGGTATTTGCATGGTATTTGTGAAAACCTTCTGTTTATGGAAAAGGTAATAACATTCTGTACAGTGCTTTCAACAGGTATCTGAATTTCTCATGGCTTCATTCCTGTTTGTTACATGGGCTTATCTAGCCACTTAAGTAACCTTGTCACACTGACAAAATAATTTAATTAAAAATGACTCAATAAAGAACGTGCTTAATGTGCATATCTATAACTACTGTTATGAAAGCTAACTCTTGTTTTTGCTGTTTGTTGGATTTTTAGTGCATTTTTGAGGCCCAAACTGGGAAAACAGTATGAAGCTTCCTGCGTGGTATGTTTTTTGTCTTAAACTCATCGTAGTTTACTAGTTTTATGCAGCATTGGCTAAATATGGAAACTTGATAAAAGATTGAACTCAAAGGGCCAAATAATCTCTTGTGTAAATCCATTTACATCAGTAGTTACCCCAGAGATGGAAAAATGTTCCAAATACCTATGCAAAGAAGTCAAACCAGACATGCAGCCCAAAATGCACTTAAAAGCATATTAGTTGAGAAATTTGTCATGTTCAAAGACCATAGTAAAATATTTGGGTGGGGGCAACAATATCTTGGGCCCTCATCCTGCAATCACTTATGTGCTTAACTTTGTGCATATAATTAATCCCAGTTACATTAATGGAAATATGAATATGTATAAGAAATATATGCATAAATATTTTCAGGAATAAGGCCTTAACTTGTATTTCTGTAGTCCCATATGCAAACTACTAATGAAACTGAACAAATCAGAATATAGAGAACACAATATTTTAACAGTACAGTCAAATACAGAAACTATTATAAAATAGTTACCATTATCTGTATATTACCAGCTGTGTCTTTAAAGAGCTTGACTTCTGAGAGAGCTGATTCGCTAAGAAAATTATTTGACAAGGTCAAATTAAATGTGTCTAGGACACTTCATGATTCCTTGAACAGTTATTGTGCGCTGCAGTTGAGCTTCCAATGTATTAAACTAAGTCAATTGTCAAATTTGGATGTACTTTTTTTTTAAGAGTTGAAATAGCAATCCTGACACAAATTGAGAGACTAGAGTATGATTTTTTTAAAGTCTTTACCGCATTCTCTGACTCCTCCTTACAAGACGGAGAACTAGAGCAACCCTGAGTATGTGTGCCACATATCACTCGGAAGATTTAGAACCATTTTTTCTTCTTATCATGCTGTGAATTCTGCAATGTTTTATTTTCAAATACTGAAAAAGGACCACTGAAAAAGTAGTCAAAGGAAGTGCTTGGTGTGGGTGGACGGAGGTGGGGGAGTTGGGTAATATATGCTAATATGGCAGGTCTGGATTCCTAAGCACCAAGCCATTGTCAGTAGCAATACCTAGCTGGATATGTGTTGGAAAAATTACAGCTGGCTGCACTGCACTCCTTCTCCAATTTGGGGTCTCATGAATTTTCCCTAGTCATGCCCTAACACACCTGCGCTTCCACCTCTGTGGTCCATTATAGAAACTCACCTATGTATGCCCACATAGGTAGGCAGACTCCTACCTATGTGAGTTCTCCTACCTACATGCTTATCCCACCACGTACAGGTCCAACAGTCATCCTGTTGTGTAAGCCCCTACAATGCTGATGCAAGCTCACTCAGCATTTGTCCTTCTATGTGTGTATCCAAGTACTTACAGTTGTCTATATTTGTAACATGGATGGCTGAAGAGGTTTCATGCTTCTGAGAATAATTCAGCAACACATTGATATTCTGTCTGTATTTATTGGTAGAATATCTCTCCTGCAGACATTCAGGCAACCTACTCCAGCAAATGAATTTGGCATTACAAAGGATTTGTAGCCTTCATGCTTATGGCCACCTCTCAGCACACTAAAAAAACACTTGTTTCTTCAGCTGCATCCTGCAGTTGTGAATTAGTGTCCTTATGTAGTTTATGATAGGAAATTTCCAAATGTGAGACTTAACTATGAGAAGTTGAGAAAAGAAGAATATAGGACCTGATCTGTTGAATCAAGCTACTGATTCCTCTAGTCAGTCTCTTACTCTTGGAAAAGAAAGATAAGCCTCTCTCCATGCCAATAATGCACCTATGCAATTATATCATGCTGGGGGGCGGGGGGAGGGGGCTTAATATTTTTGGATCTCTGCAGGCAATCAGCTCATGCCCTGAAGGATGGGATGTGATTATCATATAGTGTTATTGGCTGGCACAACTACACAATGTTCCGTAGCCGTTACTGTCTATCCATATTTAGTATCTCAGACATATTTGATTCAAGGACTGTTTTCTATAGACAGTGAATTTCATTGGTTGATTGTACATACATCATGCAAAGAAGTGCCACTTTTTCCTTGGCTCTAAATTCACTGCACTTTAAGTTTTGGTTTCACTTGTTTCCATATTAGGGTATAAAACAGGGGTGGGCAAACTTTTTGGCCACAGGGCCACATCTGGGTGGGGAAATTGCATGCAGGGCCATGAATATAGGGCTGGGGCAAAGGGTTGGGATGTGTGGGGGGGTACAGTGTGCAGGAAGGGGCAGGGTGCATCAGGGGGCTCAGGGCAGGGGGTTAGGGTACAGGAGGGAGTGCAGAGTGCAGGAAGGGTTCGGGGTGCGGGCTCCGGGATGGCAGCAGCGAGCAGCGGGGCTAAGACAGGATCCCTGCCTTCCCTGGCCCCACGCCACTCCAGAAGTGGCCGGCACCATGTCCCTGCGGCCCCTGGGGGAGGGAGGGCAGAGGCTCCACGCGCTACCCTCACCTGCCAGTACCTCCCCCGAAGCTCCCACTGGCCATGGTTCCCTGTTCCCAACCAATGGGAGCTGCAGGGGGTGGTGCCTGCAGATGAGAGCAGCGTGCGGAGCCTTCTGCCCCCTCTCCCACAGGGGCCACAGGGATGTGGTGCCGGCCGCTTCTGGGAGCGGCGCCATTGGGGTGGCAGTCCCGCAGGCTGGATTCAAAGTCCTGGTTTGCCCACCCTGATTTGCCCTGACTGACCTGGTTTGCCCACCCCGGTATAAAAGGACTCATTGGTTCTCCTTAGATGCTTCATAATTTTTAATATCCTTAGCTGAGTCTTGCTCTAAGGGCCAAATTCTTCTGGTCTTACTTACACAAGTAGTCCTTTTGACTCTGGTGGACTACTGTGAATTAGACAGGCATACTTTGTCTCTAAATCTTAGTAGATTAAATAGCTTTTTTTTATTATTATTCTTTTCAATTTCTCACATTGTGATAAATTTCAAACAAACCCAGTTAGAGGTACAGAAAGATTTACATTCTTCGTACCTTTCCTAAAGTGAGGTAGCCAAAACTGCAATTGTTGTTGTACATGGTAGTGGGGGCAGAAGGAGAGGTACTATTGGTAGATGCATCTGACATTGTCTATCTGTTTGGAATGATCTAAGTATAAATGTTTTTAAAGTTGCTGCCCATTGGGCAGACAGCTTCAGTGAGTTATCCACTGAAAACCCCATCTCTTTCTGCAAAGGATCATGCAAATTCAGAGCTTACTAGTGTACAGAAGAAGGCTAGTGTCTTATTTCTCTGTAAACTTACACTTCTTTAAACTATCATGCTGCCAAACTGTGTACTATTCTGACTGGATCTGCCTTTTTTTATGGTCCTATATACATTTTGATAAATGAAACAGTTCTGCTGTCATTGACAAATATGACCCATTCACTGTTGCCTTCTTCCTCCAAATCAACAGGCTACATGACATGGTACTCCTCTAGTGCCCCCTGCCTTTCTTCACATCAGTTTGAGGAACATCAACTCCCCTGCAGCTCCCACTGGCAATTAAAAACACGTAGCTGGCCCATGTCAGCTGACTCAAGCTCAGGTTCAGGGGCTGTCTATCTGCAGTGTAGACATTTGAGCTTGGACTGGAGCCCAGGCTCTAGGACCATGCAAAGCGGGAGGGTCCCAGAACTTAGGCTGCAGGCTGAGCCTGGATTTCTGCACCACAATTAAACAACCCCTTATCCTGAGCCCCGTGAGTCCATGTCAGCTGCAGTCTAATTACAGTGTAGACATACCCTTGATTTGTAAACTGATAGGAAACTAGGTTTTTCCCCAAACAACCTCTGAACAAACTCACTAAAGCTTTTTCTGCTATTGAGTATAATGAAGACTGAGCATTAAAGAATACTTTAAGTTTTTATGCTATCTTCCTGCTTGAGAGTGTGGGTTTTTTTTTAAATGTCACAATACTCTTCTGTAGAACTATAATCCTTTTTTGAGGCGGTGAAGATGGTGGTGGTGGTGGAATAGAAGCATGGAGAGTGGAGTGCCTTGTCGATGGTCCCTTACCCTAGTAAATCAGTAGAAGAGGTAAAGTAGAATGCAGATCTCCTGATCTCTAATCCTGTACTTCAAACCACTCCATCTCCACACCATTAAACAGAGTTTTTAAAAAAAATACTCCCAAGTCCCAGGAACCTCACATATTGTGGAAGAGCATGAACATGCTGCCTTAGATGGGTACGACAATATTCAGTATGAGATCACAACATTCTCGCATGTGATTTGAGTAGGGGGTTGTAAACAGTGTCTTAAGCACCTGAGAAGCACAGTTAGATGAGACAGTGAGGGTATACCGTGCTAATATAAATGGGGCAAATACAGCTTTAGATATGGGCAGGCTGTAAGTAGAGGGCATAAGGCCCTAAAGAGAAGTCATGCTGAAAAACGGTCTTAAGCAAAACACATTTTGTACTTAGTGCCTCTTTGGATGGGGCGAAGGAGGGGCTTCAGGGACCTGAGCAGGGTGGATTGATTTAAATCACCAATTTTAATTTCTGTTTACATCAGCAAGCAGGAAATCTTGATTTATTTTTTTTAATCAGTTTTAATCATGGGGGGAGGGATAGCTCAGTGGTTTGAGCATTGGCCTGCTAAACCCAGGGTTGTGAATTCAATCCTTGAGGGGGCCATTTAGGGATCTGGGGCAAAAACTGGGGATTGGCCCTGCTTTGAGCAGGGGGTTGGACTAGATGACCTCCTGAGGTCCCTTCCAACCCTGATATTCTATGATTCTATGTCTCTACATTTGTAGTATCTTAGTTATCTTCCTAAAGAAAGGTTGATTCTTGCTGGCTGATCAACATTTTAATGGTAATCAGCAACTAAATATAGTCTTTTTGCTGACCAGGAGAACACTCTATCAATACACATTTGTTTAAGCTATATAATTTACTTTTAGTTTTGCATTTAAAACTAACAGTTTCTGATAACAACTTCCTTGTTTAAATAAACAGTTAGTATCTGTAGTTAGTTCAATTCATTATGTTCTTCAGGATTTTAG